ATAAATTAAGCAAACTAAATTGTTCAATAAGCTACAAAATGGCAAAAACTGTGCAATTTTTTTGTCAGTTAGAAAATAATTTCTAAATTTACGTGTTACACGAGTTCCACGAATAACTTAGAGTTAAAATTACCCATCCAATAAGTGACAAAATGGCAAAAATTGTGCGATTTCGTGTCAGGTAGAAAATAACTTTAAAATTTTACTGCCAAAAATAATAACTATTACTTAGACTTAAGAAGTATCAGACGCCTCAAAGCTAGATGGGAGAGTGGTTCAAAAAAAAAACCCTTAAGTTTCGTTGGTCACCTTACCATTGCTCTAACCGCTGTCTTGCTACCGGATAGTGACGTGCTTACAGCAGGCTTTGTTTTGTTCTGCAACTTCAAAATTGCCGCAGAAGCGTTTAGTCCGTATTCTTTTTTCAAGTTCTCGCAGCTTTCACGAACCTAAATTTGTAGCAAAACTTTATTATAATAGCAAAATTTATAAAAAATTATCAAAATCCTATTTATTTGACCAGAAGAAAAGGGAAAAGTATCACAAGGACAAACACACGATTAGTAAAAAAAGCAAAACTTAGAATTTTTTTTCGAAAATGTAAAAAATTTTTTTAGAATTTTTTTCGAAAATGTAAAAAATTTTTTTAGAATTTTTTTCGAAAATGTAAAAAAAAAAGAAAGAAAGCAGACCTTAGCTAATTTCCCTTTGTCCTGGGTAACTTGACCGCAATAATTATTTATCGCACTCTCGCTGACAATCCTCATTAGTGCTCCAATTGCAAGAAATGATGCCTCACGGACACTGGAATCTGCATCAGATGCAAGCTGCAAAAATACCAATATTCTATCCAAAGCAGTATAAATTCAGTCCAGTGTGCTCTCATAGATAATGATGCGAGAAAGCTGAATTCCTTTCCTTCCACAATTCTTCGAACGTACAACAAAAAATTAGCTTTGTCGCACCGGGGATGGGGCGGGGAGGGGGGCAGAGGGGACCACAGGGCCATAAAAAGATGCTTAACTGCGAAGCAATCGTTTATCTCAGCCAACTGTACCTGTCCCTCCCATGGAATGATAAGTAACAACCGTTAGAATGCCGAATCATAAGTGGACGGTCCAAGTGGAGCAGCCGAAGTGGGTTAAATTGATAAATAATTTGCGACCTTTGGTAGGCCGAACCGTAATTTCTGAATTTAATGGCCAGTCCAAACCGTGGAAAATACGGAACGGCCATGATCCATGAATTTTAATGTAAAGTGAAAACTGTGAATCCCGTTGCCTGCTACTGTCTTGCAATAGCACTTAGCCTCAAAATCGGGTTGCCAGCTTTCTTAATGTTCTCAGGCCTCATACCAAAAACACATCTACAGCCTAACCTTGCTAAGTGCTGAGCCAAGCTTTTGTTCCACACATTCCTGTCGTATTGTTTGTGCACTGTGCTGGCGCAAAAGCCTCGCAATAAACAAAGCAGTCTGTTCCCTGATCTGTGGATTTGATTTTTGCAGAGCATTTTCCACAATTTCAATATATGCCGAAAGCGGCGCCTGAATGATCTATTATTAAAATTAGTTTAATTTATTAAAATTAGTTGATTAAAATTAATTCTAAAGTTTATTCCAAAATTTAAAAGCAAAACTTAAAAATTTAAAATTCTGGAATTCAAAATTAAAGTTAAAATTCAAAATTTATAAAATTTTAGAATTAAAATAAAAAAATTTCTTAAAATTAAAAAAAAATTAGTTGATTAGTCGCCTATTCTCTCCACACTATGCAGTTAGGCAATGCATGCAATTCTGCTTATAAATCAAGCAAATTCAACTTACAAATAAGGCAAGGGTATCGCAAAGTTCAGTAAGAGGCTGACGAAATACTGCCTTCTTTTCTTTGAATTTCTCAAAAGCGGCAGCATATATCTGAAACAAAAAAATCTCCTCAGCAAATACGTAATTTTAAATTTTTTTTTCAAACAGTCAATGCTAAACTCGAAGAAAACAACATCAATTCTCTTCAGCAAAATATGTAATTTAAAAATATAGTATTAAAGTCACTGTTCAATCCTAAAAAACCCTAAATATTCCCCCTTGCCCCCTGCCTCTGTACCTCTTTCCAGAACAGTAAATTACTGCCAAAAATGAAGACTCCAAATCAAGAGAAAATATAGTTTTTTGAGTTAAACAGTGGAGTCAAGCTTATTCAAAAATATGAACTGATATCGACAATCTCCTGGTTACCATCTCCTATTTTTTTGGTTAATTTCTACAAAACTGGTTAGATTTCTTGCCCATTTACTTAATTTTTGCCATTTCCAGAAATAAATTACATTCCTGAAATAAAGTCTGTAGATTAGCCCTTGAACTTTTCGGCTGAATTTTTTTTTCGTTTCGCTTCTCTTAACAACAACTAGAAGCAGCATAGAAAAGAAGATCCCTCCTTTTTACTTTTTCATTTTCTTTCCTGTTCTTCCCTTCCGCCCTCGTTCACTTCCTGAGGATTATACCGACAAGGAAAAGAATGAATAATGCAGTAAAAATCTAGCATTAGGAGGAAACGCTCTTTAGCCTAATTGAAAAAAAATCCTGACCCTGCAAATCTTGATCCAATCTTGATCTACAAATCTTGATCTTGATCAAATTCTGATCCAAATCTGATCCTGTCGAAAACGAAAAAATCCTACAAATCTTACATGTGGTATACAAGGAGAAAGAGCATAACGTAGTCCCTGAGCAAAAGCCATGATACACTTTGTTGCAAGTGCGGCCACACTGACATTTGTATCTTTCTCAAGCATCTGAAATACAAAAACGTAAAAAAACAGAATCGGTGCGTTTGGGCGCTAAAAATTTTTAGCAAATGCTTCACAAGTAAATTTCAAAGCTTGCATAAAAATGCACACCGCGCACAATGCGGTAATGAGTGTGGCATGGTTCTCGTGAGGATCGAGTCGAGGATTGTGCTCCAAAACATCCAACAATGCCTGAAAACATCTGCGCTCATCACCCACTTGCAATGGCCACCTAGCAAAAAACTCTCTAAACTAGCTTAAACGAGTAAATGTAACTTGAAATTACCAGTATATTGGTGCAAAAAACTGTATAAAGTCACAAGCAGGCAAGACCTAGGCTGGAAGGCACCAGGCGAACCGACGCGATCATGCATTTTTGCGCCATTTCTTGCTGTAGCAAGATCGCAAGGAATTCTACTATGATTACTATAATCATAGTAATCATAGTAGAATTTGTGACATACTGGTCCTCGAAATTCAGTAAGTTAATTGTGCGGCTATGTGGTACGTAAGTTGTAGATGCCGGCTTCAGTGACCCGACAGATGGAAAGTTGCTGATGCGCGAAAAAGGCCCTACAAGGACTGAATTTGAAATCTTTTAGTCGCACATGAGTAGGGAACATTCCCTTAAAATTCAAGCCTTCCAGTTTTTTTCGCTTTCGCGTTAGCAATTTTCCTGCCAAAACTTTCACTTGTTCGTACGTAAGATGCAGACGTGCGTGACAGCTGATATCACGTCCCTGGTGTCGCACTTAGCCGCGAAATATACTGGCAAAATTTCAGCATAAAAGTTTGCGTGGTTGGCGAGTAGAAACACCCGGACAGACGAGCACACACACACACACAAACATACACACACTCATACACATAAAGACACAGTCGTTGCAATATTCGTTTTTGCTGCCTGTTGCAGCGTTCTAGCGATGCATGGCAAAAAAAGCATAAAAAATGATTCAGAAAACGAAGGAAAAGAAAAAAGCAGCAAAAATCTGGCGCAGAAAGGTAAGAAATTTTCAAGAAAGTGGTACCTCCAAAATTTCCACGCGTTCTTTCCATTTTTTGGAAGTTAGCATCGTCTCCATGTTATTTGGTAGCTTGTCACAGATCTTTGTTTCGGTTAGCAATTCCCATGCATCAACTTCAATGCCATCATCTTGACATTTGTCGCCATTAAGAGCTCCGTTGTTCTCCTCAAAAAGCGCTGCATTTAGGCGGAAAATACGAGGCAGGAGAGGGGGAGGAGGCATATCAATACAAAATGTAATAAATCAATCAAAAAAAAAACGATACTTTATTGTCACCGGATGCACACGGTTCTTCGGCCATAGAAAGGCCACTTTCGATTCTTGCCTTTTCGTATGCTTCAAAATCTTGCACTGCTTTCGCACAGTATCCTCCTACTTTTTTTGCCCTCGCTTTATCGCCCAATACCTCACCAATCACGGCCATTGCCCCCTTCTCTCCGAGCAAACGTAGCACAGCGCCAATGCCCATAAAACATCTCTCGCGCACCTCGGGATCACCATCACTGCTGTGCTAAAAAAAAAAATCAGAAAAGTCAAAAATCGAAAAAAAAAACCAAAAAAAGCACTTTTTTCTGCATATTTTATCTTCTACAAAAGGTTTCTATCACGCCAATCTACTGCGGCTTACAGTGCACCAATAGCTGCCTGTTTCTGCGATGTACATAAAATTAGAATGAATTTGTGGGAATTTGACAAATTTCAGACGTACAATGTTCAAAGTGTTTTGGAAATTTTTTTGAAAAATGTAAACTATGAAAGTTCGTTTGGCACTGTAGGCCAGCCGATGAAAGGGATACAGTCGAATATTGTCAGTTGTGGAAAAGCACGGAGTGCTAATTCAGATACCCAGATAAGCGAGCCTGTATGTGCATTAGCTGCTGTCCTGTTTATGACAATGACAACGGTGGAGGGGTAGAGAATGGAGTGCTCCCGATGGATTAATCTTCCAGGACTGACTGAGTTTAGAAGACAGAACAGCAGAGGACGGAAAAAACAGTACTGCTGTGCTTAGCGCACGACAAAATTCAGAGCTCCCTTAGTGGTAGTTTTAGCGATTTCGATATGTAGCTGGGCAATTTTTTGAAGGAGTCTTATGTTCAAATCAGTTATCTATTTATTAATTTTTATACTCATTTTAGAATGGAGTAAACTCAAACTTAGAAATGCTTCATTTGGGTAATTTTTACCCGGCCAAATCGGGCAAAAAAAAAAAAAAAACGAGCCGAGATGAAGGCCTATTAAAGGTTGAAAAGAGAATATCAGGAGAAGAAGGAAACAATGAAAAGGAAGCAAGCAAAATGAGGACTACACAAAATCAAAAAAAAAAAAAAATTATGGAGACGATACGAGCAATGATACCACAGAGAAGACATGTAATTATCTCAACTAACAAAATTTTAGGATTTCTACGCTTGAAATGACTCGTTACCTTGATAAGATATGGTGCGACAGCTTTAATGAAAGCCACTGGTGCAGCAGCTGGCCGAAAATGGCAAAGAATGTAGTAAATCCATTGAAAAACATTCGTTTTCACATTCGGATTTGTGCCGTGCTTCTCCAGAACATCACAGAGTGGGCTGACGAAAGTTGCGCTATCACACTGAAAAAGGCGATCAGTCAGAGGAAATAGTAGAATGGAAGGACTGGACTTAAGCGTCATGTGTAAGAAGACATTTTACGATGCAATTTTCCTGTGTTTCATCCCTTAGCTGTAAACACAGACTGAACTACACATGTGGTTAGGAGCGGGAATCATCAGAGCATCGACGAATTGTGAGAAAAATTAGGAGAGAAACAAACGTGATCGGTGATCACTGCCAAACACTGTACAACAGCTTCCTTAACTGTCGCTTTCTTCTCCTTGAATTTCTCCAACAACGTCAATAACAACTGCAATAAAATTTTTTCGTATTGTACAAAATTTCAAGTTTCTTACATTACAAATTTCTTACGTTCCTTACATATTCGTAAAATTTCAAATTTCAAATTTCTTACAAAATTTCTTATATCATTTCAACGAAATGATGTAAGAACCACTTCCACTAACAAAGAATCAAATGTGGTCTTTTTTTCAGTACTTCACAACTATTGAAAATTCTTTGCCACTGGGCAAGAGAGATCACAGGCTTCACAGTCATTCCCTGCAACATCACTGAGTTTCCTACAAACGCACAGCAGTGCCTGCGGGTGATTGCTTTTGGTATTTGTTACCTTAGTGCTACTTTCCGAGCGCCTCTGCCTTTCAAGAAAAGCGAATACACGTGGGTTTTTGCCTTTTTCTACGGTTTTTTGAATGTTTTTCGAAAAACGCATATAAGAAGACCCCAGTGCTACTCCCCAAGTGCCTCTGCCTTTCAGAAAAGCGAATACGCTAGGGGGTTTTGCCTTTTTCCATCATTTTTTTTTTTTTTTTTTGAATATTCTTCGAAAAACATATACAAAGAACTTGGGAATTTTTATAGGTCCAGCCGATTCGCTGCTTCTAGAGGAATGTTGCATCCACATAACACGAAGAATGTAGGAACAAAACGGAATCGTTTTTTTTATGATCGAAGTTTTTTAGGAATATATTTTAAGAACAGC